AGAACCCATGAGAAATGCAAGAAATGCATTATTGCTCAGTCTGCAGTATCGTTCCCAGAACAAACAGCAATTGCAAAAAAACATACTAAAAATAAACCAAGCACAACAAGAACTCCTGAAAAAGCTGTTTAGAACAGCATGCTATAAGAGTGAACTATATTGGCAAAATTTAGCAGTCTTTGCAAACTTCAAAAAGCAAATGGCCTAGATCTTGGTTCCACTTACCTCTTACCCGTGACTTCAGTGGAAATTTCAGATTTAGGATCTGACACAGACTGATTCATGTTCTACACAGTTCTTTCAGTTCATAGAAATTTCTGTTCAATTTGAACCAAGTATTTGAGTTGATGATTGTAATTTTTATACAGTTGTTGTGATTTGTATTTTAACAATTTTTTTGATTAATTTTTGTTTCTGTTACAATATTATATTTTAATGTATAATATTGTAAAGGAAACAAAACATTAAAAAATAGCTTTCTTTTTTTATTCGGGCTACTTAAATTTATTTTGGGCTACCAAAAACTGAAGAATGCCTGCCCGAAGGGCTACCAGAGATTTTGAAATTTTGCGAGCCTTGTACTCTGTCAGAAAGATTCACACTTTCCACTGCACTTTCATTTTGAAGGAATATCACCGCTAGTATTTTCTAACTTCAGCATTCACTGAGCATTGTTATCCACTTTATATTATGAAAAGTAGTTCACAGCTATAATTGGAAGCAATACAGTGACAAATATTAAAAATTTGCTCCCTCTGTCTCCATGACAGTTTAATTCTGATCAGTCACGACTTTTACATAATGTGTTTTGAGTCACACTGCTTAGCTCCTGAGGGCATTTTTACACACCTCAGTTTGCATCATGTGAAACACGCTGCATCTTTTCACAGCAGCTAGACTCTGGTGTAAGTTTAACCAAAAAGATACTTGTTAAAACTGAAAGCAATGTGTCATACTGCAGATTTTGGATTGGAAGCCCACATGTGCCTCGTGGATTTCACTAAAGGACATTGCCAGCCCCACTCTCCTACAGATTTTCTAAAATTTCTCCCCTGGTAATCTATGATTTAGTTTCTCACACTGCAAAGATGAGAAAAGGTACAAAAAGCTATCATTTTGTCTAAACAGCTTGAGGAGAACTCCCAGTTTGCAGTAGTTTGAAGTTTATTAAAGTGGACAGAGGTGCTGTTTACTTATAGATACATACAGTTTATATACAATTTAAAATAGGATCTTTGCTAAGCTGCCGGTTAGAGACCAATTATAGATACCGCAGTGCTTGTGTTGTGTGCAAACACTGACTTTGCCACAGTTCTGTACCATTTATATCAGCACTGACGGTGCATATACTTGCTGCAGCATTGTCCTGAATGATAGGTGTGTGAGGTTACAAAACAACGAACAAACAGCCGAAATCCTAGTCCTGACTCCTAGTCCAGTAGGACTTTAGCCCTGTTGTGCTCAACCACTTTGGTGTCTCATATTTTATTTTGTAGTCCATATGTAGCACAGATGTTCCTGTACACTATCCCCACCACTTATGGTTAAGGTTATGCGTTTTAGCGTACATGGTCCAACCTTCCTGCTACTATGTGTTGGATAGTCTCCGCGCATCTTTAGACAGTCTGCAACAACAGTCCTATTGACTGTGGTAGACTTCTGGATCTATGGATCTGATACTTAAGGCCTGTTCTTGTGCTGCCATGATCATGATCTCTGTCATTTCTCCTAAGCCAGCCTTTTCTAGATTTCTAGATCTTTTTCAGTTCCGCGTCACTGTCTGTCTTAAGCTGAGGCATTCTTGTTGCACCTCACCTTGAAGAACCATCTTCCTAATGTATTCACACGTGCTCTGGGTTTCATCCTGAACTGTGGCTTAGACACTCACTAATCCTCGTGCTTCCTCTTTCCATTGCTCATAGAGTGTCAGGGTGCTAGACTTCAGATGGAGGCCTCCATGCCTTGTACAGAGTTTTTATGTCCTGACATTAGTAGCATCTATTTCCTCTTGTGGGCAGCTTATCATTCCAGCTGGGTATCTGATAATGCATATGGCATATGTACTGCTGTCTTAGATACTATTCCTACCATTAAACTGTCTTCTCAGTATTTGTCTTACCTTCTGGAGGTATTTGGCTATGGCTGACTTTCATGCATCTTAATTATGGTTCCCATTTGCTGTGGGATAGCCAGGTACTTCAAATTGACCAATATAACTGCCACTCTGCCTTCTGGTATCTCTACCTCTTTAGGCCAGATCACCTTTTCTCTCTTTGCGACCATTCAGCCACACTTATCGAATCCGAATAATATCTGGATGTCCTTTCTATAGATCCTGTTGAGATGGTGAGACAATATTACATTCACTCCTGGCATACAGCTTGATGTCATCCATGTACAGAACGTGGTTGATGGTGACTCTTCTCCTAGATCTGTGTCCTAGATCCACTGTTATTGATGAGCTGGCTTAGTGGGTTTTGGGATGTGAAGAACAGCAGTGGGGACAGTGCGTCACTGTGGCACCTCTGCACTTAATGGTGACTTACTTGGTACAACAGACTTCAAGTTGGCCTCTGGTGTCATCTTCCACAGTCACGTTGAGTTCTTGATGAATGTTGTTATCATACTGTTGGCCTTGTCCAGGGCCAAGAACTCCTGTATCCATGTGTGGATGACTCATAGGCTTTCTTATAGTCAGTGCAGGCATTGCTCATGTTGGTCTGCCAGATCTTAGAATCCTGGTATATTGCTATCAACCAAGAACTGTTGCACTGGCAACATGTTGTTATTTTAATGCCCTTCTGAGCTGTGCTCATGTATCGACTCATGTGCCCACTCAGCTTGTTTGCTATGATGCCTGAGAGAAGCTTATATGCTGTGGAGAGGGAGGTAATCATCCAGTAGTTTAATGGTGTCGTGCCCTTGTGGGAATCCTTCATGACCAGGATAGTTCTGCCTTGTGTTAGTCCCTTTGGACAAGTACCTGTTTTTAGCAACCCCCTTGCGTGATCTCAAATCATACTATTATTATAGATTCCAGAGTCGATTCTTAGGATCTCAGTTCAGGGGTCCTTTCACAGCATTTCACAACCACATGAGAAGTCATTCACACACACAAATATAGAACGACACACAGAGTGTTATCTGTCAAGTTGTACTTCCTGGTTGGGGTTGATGCCATTGATGAGTTTGGCATTGAGACTGGACCAGCCAATGCCATGCTTCTACAAAAACTGAAGAAAAAGACTGAAGAAGTGCTCAATGAGAAGAATCAGGAGTGTTTAATCAGAGAATGATGAATTCTACAGCTGTGAGGGATGACTCTTTGTGTTAGTCAAGTCATAGACTTATAAATTCCCACTCTCTGGGGAAATTAGGCCACTGAGGTCACTGTTGTGCCATAGGCAGCACAGAAATATCTAATGATAGTGCATGTGTCATCAGTGCAGCTTTTATAACATAACACAGAAAAATACAAGGAAGCAAAACAGGAAGATCCATAAATCATTTTCAGAAAGGACTTTTTTGCTACATGGCTCTTCCTTGCTGGTTTAATTGGTACAGTGTAGTAGTAAATGGACACCGGTTTGGATAAACCAGGTTTCTGTTGGTCCGATGAGAGTGCTGTGCAATGTCACTGAAATCACCAAAGCAAGATATTGCGGCACTCTGTCTAATAGCTTACACTAGTAAACAATTAGCCAATATATAACTGTTCATTTCTTGTAATTTATTAAGTTAATTACCCTAACTACCACCTAATGACTCTGCTGAAGTTCACAATTGTAGTACTTTATCCACTCAAACCAAAATGTCATGTCTGAACTATAAACTGGCTGACAGTGGTGTTGTTGTTGTCGTCAAAGTAATTAAAAATGCAAGTTATTCAATGAGATGACCTTTAGCTTATAGAAATATCTTTCTGCAAGACAAGGTTATTTATTTCAGTGAAAAGCTACAAAGTAAGAGCCTCAAAAATAAAAAGTTTCAGACTCAATGAAATAAAAATAGAAATGCTCTTTTTTTAAGTTGTAATAATGCAGTCTTCAGTATCCCACTTGTGGCAATTTCTGTCAAACATTTCATTTGCAGGGACCACATCCTCAGTTAGATTGACGGTGTTTCATGAAAGAGAGTGGCTCCTGGGCTGGGCAGATTCCCATGTACTAATGAGAGGCTTGAGAACTGAGACAAGGGGAGCAGGGTGGAGCACAAAAATGCAAAATAAACAGCCTATAGAGCAGGAAGGCATATGTACTCATGGAACTGAAAGGGAAGTGATGAGGTGTGGTCCCACCCTTGAAATTCAGATAAATTATCTCCAATTTGTTTATCTGGTGATACGTTTTTGCTGGTCATACTATTGCCTGAAAATCCAAGGAAATTAATTTGCTATCAGTAAATATGCTTGTGTCACACTAATTGCATGTCCACTTAACCATATATATACCAACCATGAAGCCTGAGGACAAACTTGCAAGTAAGATGAATAATTGTAATAGAGAAGAATCAGTTAAACTTGCTCTACATGTAGGGAAAAAATATGTGAAGGTGAACTCACATCTTCTTTTCCTTTGTGTTCTTCTTTCTTGTCATGGCAGAATGATTCCATCCAGCAGCAACGACTTCCTGGTGCGGGACCTCGCTGCTGGACGTAGCTATGATCTTTGTGTCCTGGCCGTGTTTGATGACGTCATCACATCGCTGACTGCAACTCGTCCTTTGGGCTGTCTGTCATTTACCACAGACACAGAGTTCAGCCAGTGCCAAGCATTGCACAGCCACTTCTTGGGTGGTACTATGATCATCATCATTGGAGGGATTATTGTTGCTTCTGTGCTTGTTTTTATTATCATCTTAATGATACGATACAAGGTTTACAGCCACCAAGGCACAGGCCATGGAAAAGCAGCCATCACTGCGACTGCGCCAAGACCGCAGAGCAATGGACAAGGAGGCAGTCAGGTCCAAGTCCTTCCTCGCTCTGCCTCAAAGATGACTGACAGTCATGACGACCAAGTCCTCGGACCATCCAGGGCAATGTCGCCTAGCAACACTCTGCGAGACACTGTCACGTTGGTCGAGGAGGAGAGCAGTGGACAGAGCCTAATGACAAGGACTGACTCGTCAGCAAACGAGGAGTTGCTCTCACCCACGAAGTCCCGCTTCTCCTCCAGGGTCGCCATTGAGATGAAAATTCGACCGCCATCTGTTGCCAAAGAGCCCACCTCTCCCAAAGAACTGGCAGGTATTAGAGAGCTAGTGGAAAAGACACAGACATAGCAAATTCAAGCAACTGAGCAGAGTTTAGAGAAAGTAAAAGTTGACAGAGTAGGAGTGGGGAAAACGTGGAAAGGAGGGACACAAAGAAATTCAGTCAAACAGGAAAAGCTGGTGGATGAGAAATTGACAATGTGAAATTTAAGGTGTAAAACTGAGCAAGATAATAATGAAAAGAAGAGCAGTGTGTGAATGAGAAAATGAGTACGAGAGATCTTTCAGTCTGTAGGGTTGCAGCAGCAGCTCAAGTTGTTTTTAAATCTCTTCTGTATGATTGCATATTCCTTTTTTCCAAAAAAATGAATGGAAAAAAAGTCTTGAATTAACCTTCCTATAGTGAACTGAAAACCTCCCCCATGCTCATTTATTTTTGTTTTCAGCTCTTTCCAAATGCCAGACTTCTTTTGTTGAACGCTCAGAAGGGATACATGCTGACTCAAAGTTTTTTAAATTTGTGAAGAAGATGAAGAATGATGCTGCAACCTTGTTGCCAAATTTGAGGGGTTTTTTTAGTTTCTGGAAAGCTTGGCTAGACAACAGATAATAACCAAATAAATCTTTATGTTTTTGTGTTAGAGGAGAGAGGTAATGCATGTGGTGGGAGTACCTGTCACACATTATTCCAGTTAACACCTCTCACATTAGAGCGCTGCAAACTATTAGTCTTTAAGCGCTCCAAGAAAGCCTGCTTGCCTTTAGAAATGACACATCCCAAGTGCTAAAGAGTGAAAAAGCTACTTAAATACAAAAGAAAGGCTGTATGCACTGGCTTACATTTAATATCAAGCTGGAAAAAGCCCAAGTCACTTATAAAGTTAAATGTGACTTCAATAGCACTGAATGCTAGATCTTTTGGGGGGGGGTTATATAAAAGTTTTGTGTTTTCCTTTTTGTAATAAACATTTATTACAGTGTTAAAGACCATAACACCACACACACATTTAAATACTGTATTGCAGAGAGAGAGAGGAGAAAGGGGGAGACCGTGCAACAGATCATTTTATGTGAATCCAAGAAATGTGTTTTACAGCAGATTCATGACAAGTCTACTTGAATAATCTCCAGGATTATCAGAGTCTGGCACACATGTGTTATATAGAAGTAATAAACTATACATAATGCAGAAAGTAATCAATGCAGACACAGCTATTATTAATGAATGTAAAATTATATAAGACAACAACTTGTACTTGTCAAGCTTTTCATCTGGTGTAATAGGCATGCAAGCTCATGTGAGCAGCAAAAACACTCAGCAAAAGCTACAGCTAGGTTTATTTATACAGTACTTAATGATGATGTATAATTGAAAGTTTAAAACACACAATCAAAAAGAAGGAATATAAAACAAATAAATGTAAATAAATAAGGCTGGATTACCTTGGACAGTGGGGGAAAGATGAATGATTAAATATTTAAATGTGCTTGTTTGATCCATAGAAATAAGAAAAAGACATTTTGAAGATATGCATGATCCACATGACAGGTTGAAATTAAGCTTAGTCACGACCAATTTGCTGAACCGAAATTGGTTAAATCCTCAGAACCATTAGTACTACTTGAGCTTTAGGCTTCCATTTACTGTTTCTTTATCTCTGGGCTCTTTGGTCTAATCAACGATCGGCCTCTTGTGTCAGCTTGAAAATACTGTTTTTAGTTTTTACAGCAGTGGCCTTTGGCATGCCATCAGAAAATAGCTTTATTTGACAGCCTGAAAGAAATAGAACGATAGAGAGATAATTTGTCATTGTAATCATTTAATGAAGAGAGTAGTGCAAAATACATGATTGCAATAATGCACAAATCTGCTCGATTATAATTCTACTGTAGTTTTCTTAGAATGCAAGATACTGGTGGAAAATTGCTTTTACGTAACAGTCTTTGCCAGCTATTAGATAAAACCTTCTTTGTGTAATCAAGAGCACTTCCTTGTTCCAAACTTCTGAAACGACTTGCACATGTTCTCAGAGATTGCTTGAAACCGTCAATGGATCCCTTATAATATAAATCCAGAAAATCATGTGGATTTTTGGAGGGGAAGTAAAATTTCCCTGTACTAAGCCTACTCCAGTGCATTTCCCCTTTAACACTAATCCATTCAGGAAATGGGGGTTTCATTGGAATGAATAAATGAAGACATCATTTCACATGAGGGGCTTAAAGAGCTGAGTGGAAATACTTTATCAGCGGTTGATATGTCATTCAATTGGCCTCTGTGAATGAGCTGAAATGAGGTGTCATTGAGCCTCATGTTGATAGCAGGGAGGAAACGAGAGATCTGTGCAGAGTATAGGAGCTTAGCCAGCAAAGTGAGGGAGAGCTTTCACCTTCATCAACTTTGTCAGTTTGGTTGTCTCTCTTATATTAATACAACAATGTTAAATGTTGCTTTTATCAGAATTCATTGTGTCCAACATTAACAAAAAATGTACCATGGATATTAATTGGTTTTTGACATCGGACATTATAGTGCAAAAAATCTCGAGCCACCCACTTGTATTGCCAGGAAAATGGGAAATACATACATTACAACATACATTGAAATACTGTATATGAGGTAAAAAAAAAAAAGTTTGCACAATTCTAACAAACATCAAACTCAATATGTGATATGACCACCTTTATTATTTAACACAGCCTGAACAGTCTTTTTATTTCTTTAAGGAATAGATCTCTCCAGGATTCTTGAATTTCTTGAATTTTCAGTTCGGTGGCGTGTAATTAACTGGGACCATTTCTGAACACGCTTCAGTGAACAGTAGGTCTCAGGTCCTGTGTCAGGTCTTTGCTAGATTTCTTCCTATTTCTTAAGGACATGACTTTCTAATACACTTTTTTTTATTCAGGCTTGCCACGTTTTTTGTCTGTTACTTGTTCCATTTTCTTAATTTGTTTAAAGGATACACTGCACAATGTGTTGATAGCACTTTTGAAATAACCTTGTTTGTGCAAAAAATATAATTTTATGCCGGCCTCTGACATATTTTGTGGATTTTAGTTAAATCCACAAAATGTGTCTCTCTGAAACAAATAATGTGCTTCCCATAATTATGAGTTCCTCTGAAAATGGTCAGGTAAAAGGATTGGATTGAAAGTTAGAGAAAAAGCATTCAATATTCAAAGACCTTCAGAAAACCTGGAGAACTACTGGTTAACTTCACAACTTCACAGAAAGTCTGGATCTTTAGAAGCCAAATATGAAGAAATGAGGCTTTGCACAGCTGTGCACCGTACTGTACTCAAACACATTGTTTTAAGCTGCTTTAATTTTTTTTAATACTAATAAAGCTTTGACGACAACTTTACACATACAGTTCAGCAAGTGTGCCAGGAGGTTGATGGCCACATTGCGGTTGTAAAGTAGATGAGTTAGGCAGCGCTCATTAAAACTGGTTAGAATTTTGGGAATTGTGAAAGAAAAAAAAACCTTGAATTTTATTTTGTTGCACCATTGAGGTAACACCATATGGATAAACTCAAAAATCCCCCTATAGGCCTAATTAACCTTATCTCAACCTTATCTAACTGAAGTATGCCAGTCAGGGAAGCCTCCAAACAACATCCCAGACTAAAAGACATGCAAACAAACCAATTATTATTGTTTTTATTTTGACATTTTACCCAGGAGGAAAAAGTTACAGTTGGCCTTTTATGTTCTTTGTTTTCTTCCTTTGATTCCAGGATCATTGGCACTTTGAGGGAAACCTACAGTGAGGGATAATACCCATGTGTTTGTACAAAGGCTGTTGGAGTTTCTCAGGGTGTAACTGTGTCTGTGATGTGTTTCACTGGTTGCTGCATTGCAGAGAAAGGCAACATTGATCTGATCAGAGAGCCACAGTGAGTCAGAGAGCCTGAGGAACAGAGCAACTGACAGATACACAGGAAAACCCCATTAAATGCCCGCAGTTGTGAAAAAAATAAACATGTTTTCTTCATGGTAGTTTAATTCTTTAAGACTATTTGCTCTTATATATTCATAGGAATCGAATGCAGTATTTTATTTATTTATTAAACGGTTGAGAAGTCCCACTATTATGGCACAAAGACAAAATGTTCAGTGTTGGACTAAAAAAGACACACTTTTAAACATAACAAAGCTACTACTATCTGTGACAACTGTTAATAAAGCTAACCGAATGGGCTTTTCTGGTTGGGAGGCATTAAATGGAAAGATGTACTTACGAGATAGACGTGTTTTTTGAACATTAAAACAATAAACAATATTCTCATAGAAATGGTCAGTATATAAATATGTGACATGACTCCATAAATTAATAAAATGTAGGCACTTTCAACTTGAAAAATGTAAAACTATCACAGAATTTGAAAATGAATCAATGAAGAAATGCACATCAGAGATCATTTTAGCAGTCAAGTTGTCACCTTGCTTTTTAGCTCTATGATACAAGGATGCAGCATGTGGGTTCAGGATTAGAAGCAGCTCTTTAACCTGAATATTAAGTGGGGAATTTTCTATCTGGATTAGTAGTAATTATATGCTTGACACAAACATATTATGATTATGTCAAGCAACGTATTATTAGTTCAATAACAGGCAAACAAACACTGAATGTGTGTGTGTGTTAGAGCACAAACACACAAAGACACACACATTGTTGGGAAAAAACAGATAAACCATTTCTTTTATAAGGTTAAGACTGAACATTTAGGTTAATTTAAGGACAAGACATCAGGTAACAAATGCAGTGTGCAGTGTTCATACAAGAGATGGAAAAAAATTTGTGCATGTAAGCTCAGGGTCAGTCACCAAGTCCCTGCAGGTTTGTTCCTGCATTTGTGTGTGGTTATGTACAAGGTTTATCTGCCTTGAGCCAGTACATATGTTCCCACAAGGTTAGTCAGGATAGAAAAATACTTAAGCACAGCGCAAGGATGTGCGAGTCTGTGTGAAGTGCAAGTGTGTGTTCTCCCCGTGGCCCATCCATGACCCTGTAGCCTGTCTGTCCTCGGTGTATTTTAATCTATCATCACTCCTTTCACTGTCATCCCATATGCCCAGCCTCATTCTTCACTGCCGTCTGTCTCTCTGAATACATCTCTTGGAATCGGCCAGGCCTCTTCCCCTCCCGCTGTTCACAAGTGCTCCCACATGCTTTTCTCTCATCTTCTTTACCCGTTTTCCGACTGCCCTGACATTGTTGCTTGTTCTCTCTCTCTCTCCACTGAATAGATTTTTTTTTATTATTTCTTTTGCTGTTTAGCTGTATCTATATCAGTGTTTTTCCTCTGCTTCCTCTTTCTCTCTGTGTCCTTTCACTCATTCGCTGTTTTTGGCTCCGTTTCATTCTCCATTTCTCTCCCCCTCTCTCTGTCTGACTCTTGGACGCCTCCAGCAGCAGACGACAGGCGGCCTCGTAGTGTGGAATGGAGGGACTTTAACATCTGAAGGTCTCTCAGCCTCTCAAAGAGATTGCGCCACTACAACACACAGAGTAATGACTGCCACTTTAAATTTTAGCACTCCCTGGTTTTTGTTTTCTCCTGTAGCAAGCAGTTTCTTCCTTTCTCTTACCTGTGTCATTATTCTTAACTTGTCTTTCCCTACTGCAGCCTCACGTCTTTGCAGCACGCTGCAATCTGACCCTTTAGCAATTGCAGCTAAATAACAGCAACCACAATTGTGTTTCATTATCTAGTGATTTTGAGTACTGACATTTGAGAGATGTATCCTTGAAATTCCTGCCTCTGCTGTATTATAATGACTGAAAATAGCATCTTCAAATCATAAAAATACCTATAGTTACCTATAGTTACCTATAGTTAGTCCCTTAGATGACTGATTAGGGCGATTAAATGTGCCCCTGACAATTAGGGCACATTTAATTTAAATAGTGTTTTACTTAATTATCATTTTTAAAGTAAGTGTGTTTTGTTTACTGTTTATCATTTTTGAAATTCTGCTGCTTTTCAAAGACCTGTGTGGAAGTAAACTGAAAATGCTCTACATTTCTGGCTACTGGGCTAACTTGCCAGTTATTTGAAAAATCTGGTTGAGTAAAGTTATACCACATTTTTGGTTGTTTAGTTTTTTTATTTTATTTCAACAATTCTGAGAAATTATAATTATATATATAATTATAGTTATAATTGGTTAATTGTTGACAGCTATGGGAATGTGCACAAATCTTGAGTCACCCCTTATTATTTAATGACCTTTACTTCCCTTAGTTTATGAAAAGTAAGGAAATTATTTGTTGTAACAATCGTTCTTGGCATTAATCTTAATCACTGGAAAGCCTGTGTATTTCCCCTAAATGATGGGACATTTGTAAGGAAAATGCATTTGCGGGTTGATCAGGAGAGTTGAGTTTGTGTGTTGCATCCATGAAAACTTGCCAGATCTTCTCTGACAATGCCAAACAGTGTATTCTGCTACTGACTCTTGTCTTGAGCTTCTGGTACACCAGATGGCTTATTGGTGTCTGATTACCAGCACTTGTGAGCATGGACCCTGCTACAACAGTATGGAATCTGCTCCAAGCATACTATTTGACTAATCTGGATAGGGCCCGTGCTATAGGTCAACTTTAAAACTTCAAGCTAATGTTCCACAAAACCAAGTTGCAGCTTTATTTGGAGTGAGCCCAAGTTAAATTCCCCAATTGAAGGGCAAGTTCCATAGAACTGGTGATTTCAGAGACAGGATGCAAAGTGGCTGTCCCAAAAAGAGAACACCAAAAGAAGACAATATCTCATCCTGTCAGCAGTTAAGAACTGTAGGCAGTCTTCTACAGAATCAAGATTTGCAGAACGATATGGCTGATGGTCTCTACCCAGACAATCCGGAACAGACGGCAAATTGAAATGGATCACAGGCTCGAAGTGTAGAGAAGAACCCTACAATGATTGCTCCACCAATAGGATAACAGCTTTTGGTGGAGGCAGTGTGATGGTGTTAGGTGGCATCTCCCTCACTGGAAAAACAATTGGAGGAAGTCTTAATTCAGAGAAAAATTATGCAACCAGTAGCAATCCCACATCTCCACAGTCTGGGATCGAACTCTGTCCTTCAAGATGACAGTGCTGCCTGCACTTCTGACTTCAACACTCTGGGATCTGTTTGGACATGCTGTTCCTGCTAGAATAACCAGCACAGCATAACCAGCACAGCCACAGTGGCTAACTTGGGATAAATACTGACTGAACAATCAGATGTGTGTCTGACCAAGCTGGTGAGCAGCATGAGAAGGAGGTACCAGGCTGTTGTGGCTGTTTATTGTTCATCCACATCCTGTTGATGCCCCTGTTTGTTAAACTGATAAATTGTTAAATTGCCAATATGTCTTGTTTCATCAGACCTGAGTCATCTCATCCAATAAAAGAAACATAGGTCAATAGTACAACAGTAGCTGTTTGGCGTAGAGAGGGAAAATTTGGAAAGATTTTTGTGTTTTCCTGTTTTTGGTGTATAATTTGGCATACTTAAGCCTTTTCTCCTTGCTTCTCTTCCGTAAGTTCTTCTTGACAATCACCCGTCCACTGAGACCATTTCTAAGAGGCTTCATAGTAGATGGATCAGCTACATAGCAAGATGCATTTTATCAAGGCGTGTGTTGGATCATTGTTGGATTTTCTTTTTCTTAAAGATATGACTTTTAGATGTTGTTAATCTGCTGTGCATAATCATCTTGTTAGCACAAAATACTATTTTATGCATGTCAACATGTGCAATCTTTGGCATTTTTTTATAGATTCCACCAATTCCACCAGTTTTCACTTTGCTAAGTTTTCTGTTATGTGTAGACACAATACTGGTTAATCCCTTTAGTTAGATACCTTTTTATGTTAGAATGTTTTATAGGTCAGTGTTAAGTCCTCTGAAAATGGTAACGTATAGGCACTGGACTGAAAATGAGAGGGAAAAGGGGCAATGTTCAAAGAAAAAGTTTGAATCACCTCCAGAAAGCCTGGAGAACTATTGTTCAAGACCACGTTAAAAAATTACAAGAAAGTCTGGCTACTTGGAAGCAAAATATAAAGAAATAATGGGTGGCTTAAGACTTTTGCATAGTACTGTATAACTATAGAGTGATTCTCAGGAAAAATAAGTCGTTGTCTTTCTCACTTTATGCTCCCTTCTTCCTTTCTTCCCGACATTCCTTTCATCTTGTTTCTGCTGTTTTGCTGAAACTGCTTCTATCCATTATTACGTCTCCTTTCTTTTCTGTTTTAAATTTATAACACCTTTGTCTGTCTGGTTGTGTTTCACCCCTCATACTGTTTTATGATCATCATATACTACCTTTTCCTCTCAAAGAGTGATGGAGGAGAAGAGGTGAGTGGAGTGCAGAATGATGGAGGAGAAAACTGTGGAGATATGCAGTGGTTGTGATGGATGAATACAGTCCAAGGCATTAAAAAGACTGTTCTTCATTATTAAACCGACACAATAAGCACTGGCTGTACATAAATGCTGTTATGAAATATTCTTGCTGACAGATACAGTTAAGAAATGCTCTCCCGACAAACAGACACATTACAAATAACACCTGCAGCAACATGCTGCCACAACAAGTACAACCTCATCACTCTGCCAGCTATTGCTCATCTTTGCTTTTTCTTGTCAGCAAACCCTCCTTACATGGGCATTTATTGTATCTCTCGACAAACAGCAGTTGCACCTTAAGATACAAAAGAACACAAGCTACACGCTGTTCATACTAATGTGTACATATTTGTTCTTAAGGGCCATTTTGATATGAAGACATTGCATCCTTTAACCTTTAGAAATACTAAAATGATCCAAACATGATTTGTAGCCTTGTCCTTTTCAAATGTCTGGCTCTAAGCCAGGTGTGATTTTAAAACAAAGACAGCAACAACATAACATTTGAACCTTCACTACCTATAAAAGTAGTTTATGTGTGTTTTACCCTAGGAGGTACTGTCAGAAATCTTTATCAGTAGTTTTTGTTCTTAAACTTTTAAGTTAAGGCAGCTAAAAAAGGATCTGCTGGTTCTAAATACCCATTTTTATACCTGCTCTTGATCTGATAGTATTTTGCTTTTTCCAAATCTTAATACTGTATACCCACGGTTCTATTTTCAAACCTTGTTTTCAATCTTCTTTTCTCTTAGAGCCCTGATGTTGTTGTGTGAAGACTGGACGCTGCCCACTGGGAAAAGCTGGTGAAACCACCTGAAGAATAAAGGCCCTATAGCTTATGTTCCTGTATCTCCTGTTCACTGTACCCATTAATTTGTCGCCATGAATATCACAGGGTTATAGACCTGTAGTCTTCGGTTGACATTCGAGTGCTTCTCCTGGTTCTCATTTCTGGATTGGACAACTGTGTCAAGGCCTGGTGCCTGCTTGGCTGCTGATTGGCCAGCTGGTGCAAGATCTGGCTGTCAGTGTGACATACCAATCAGTTTTCATGGAGGAGATTTGTTTTTACTTTATAGCCTCTGCACCAGTGTTGAAGCGGAGACGTATAAAGGGGCATATGGATATGTTTCAACATAAGAATGGACAAAGACTTCAACATGCATGGACAGAAAAGGCCGAACAGTGAGCAAGCAAGATGAATGCATAGACAATCACATTCAGCCTAGGAATACAATGTGTTAGACTGCATAAACAGGTAAAAAAAGAGTTTAAAAAAGCTTCTGGATGGGTCTGTTTTGGGCATGAACATATACAGCTTTCTTGGCTCAAGGTGGCTTGCCAGTGTTTATCCCCGTGGAATAAAATAATTCAATTAAATTGAACCAAGCAAAACTGTTCCTGGGCTAAACTGGAGATGGACATTAACTCACCAGACCCTGATTTTTTTTTTTTTTAAATAAAAATGTTACCCTTGGAAAAAACAGTACATAGTAAAACTTGAACTGAATTGAAAAACCTGGACCCAACAGGACCTTAACTAGAACTGTACAGTGATCAGAGTTCTGATACTGATTAAACTGTACCAGATTACCAAGGACTGGTTTGGGTCTAGTGTGTGTATTCTGCAGCTCTGGCCTCTATGTCTTCTGCTTTCCACTGGACAGGTGAGGACCTGATGAACCCTTACCAACCTCCCTTACATCTCTCCTCGCCCCCTTAAACAGGTGAGTAATCTGCTAATTATCTTATTAACCCAGCCAAAGTGGGAGCCAAATGAGAAGTTCTTGAGCCCAAAGATCCAGGCTCATTAATTAGCGTGACATATGGTAGGCCACCAGTAGTCACCTTGGCCATCCACAGTCCTGCCCCTGAGTTTAAGACACACTTAGATTCTACAGTGTCTCCTCCTGTAGTGAGTAGTCTGTAACCTAATGAGGGCAATGCTTTAATGAGTGCCTATCTAATTGCTGTCACCTAGACAATTAGAGAGCTATCCTAGCTAAACGATCTGCTTTCCTAATACTCTCCTATGGCAATATCACAACAGGCGGCAGGAAATGCATCCCCATCCTGTTTGTCTCTTGGTCTTTTACTGTCTGAGTCACTCCTTATCTCATACACATCACTCCCTCTGTCCATCAGATCACTTTTTCCCTTCCCGCCTGAGCCTGTGATTGAATACTGGTGGAGAATATAATATGCTGCAGGAGGACATGGCTATGAGTAAACAGCACAGCCCCGGGGATGGTCTTTGCCTGTATGGGGGGAAAGGGGGGTCAATAATATCTGCTTAGTCAGTACAGACGCTGATGTCTGAAGCTTCAGAACTTATTCAGCGCTCAGCCTAAAAAGAGATCTTCACTTATAGATTTAATTTATCCTCTTATTAGAGGTAATCACAACAATATTTGTTTGTTGTTGTCGTTTTAGAAATCTTGTTCCAGACTTCATAAAGTGATGTTGATCTTTATTTGACAGAAATCTACAAAAGATAAAAAAGGCACAAAGGAAGTGCCCCTTTTATCTTAAATGGCTTTAAATGAAAAACAGCAGAGATTAGAATGGTCATGCAGCTTTAGCTGTTCTCATTGAAAGTATATCTTTCTCCACATAATTTGGCTTTCCCCCTGCCATGTAGTGTCAATGGCACCCACACTGTTTCAAATGAATTTTAATCAAATAGTAGATTTACTGTTCTCTGTTGGCCACAGATGGAAACACTGCTTTAATAACTTGCTTGTAAGAGATTCACAATTCTACAAAGAGCATTTTATCAACTAGACTTAATTTAACTGATCCAATTATTGTGTTTACACAAAAAATAGGAAATTTAAGGCCGTGGTGTAATTGCCATGAAATACAAACAGAATTATTTCCTCTCATAATTTGAGGGCATTTACCTTTGCGGTTAACAAACAATAATTTTCTTTAACAGCAGTTCTGTGTAGAGCACAATCTGATTAGTTGCTTTTGTAGTTGTGTTTGTGTAGGGAAATTAGCTCACTGTGAGGGATAGCTCTTGATATCATAAATATCATAAAATATGGAGAGAAATTGGCTTGATTGTGGGGAAACAGTGCAATAAATACACATAAAATGTTAAATGACCATCCATAGACTTGCCTGCTTAATAAAAATAAGACTTTTTTTCCTATTATAAGTAACTATAAGTAGCTTTGGGGGGTAATTTATCTTAAAATGAGGTAACAAGGGATCTGATATGAGTTGGGGAATAAGATACGAACAATAGAACAATAGAAAAGTTAAGAGTGTTGACGTTTTTTCTACGTTTTTCTAAAAACGTG